TGTTTCCGTCACCGCGAGTGGTGATCGACGTCTTGCCTGCATCGCAAGGCGATGCGTTGCTCCTTTAAGGACTGCGCATGCACACCGAAAGGAAAAGACCGAGATAAGCGCGTTTAACCTTGACTGCTAATGGGTTGGATCTTTGGACTTCAACTTTGGGAAATCAAGGGTTGTCCACTCAAAGGTAAACTTTTTGCAGGGGGTCAACAGCAACCAAGTAACCAAAGGGTTTCCAGCGAATGAAGCCGCCGAAGAAAGCGGCATCGAAAGTCCGTACCCAGTCTATGTAAGCTGAACGAGCCATATCTGAACCCTCAAACTAGCCCAATTGAATTGAACACCAGCCCATATGGCAGCCATTGTTTTGGGGGCCCGGTAGTTGTTTAGGGTTCAGGTGGGTGTCAACATGTTTGGCACAGCACCTCACGGAACCTGAGGGAGACGAGGGCTTTCTCAGGCTTGAGAAGGGCTGGAGATGGCCCCCTCCCAGCCATTCCCAGCCCCCGTTTTCTTTGGTTCATTTTGCTTGGATGCTAGGACTTTAACTTTTTGCCAAATGGGTTTCCGAAGTAAACCACTCAAAGCTACACTTTCAGCAGGGGAGCGGAAAGCAACCGCGTTTTCGCATCGTTCAGGCGGCGCGTTTGCTGCTTCGGGCGGGGGCCAACTGCAACCAGCGCGTTGGTGGCCACTTAGCGCCGCTGCAACGAGCGGCGGAAGAGGGCCATTTGGAGGCGCGAGCGAGCCCGATGCGTCGCGCGCACGCGCGCGGTTCAGCGTGTGTGTTTTGGGCTCGGAAGGGACCTGGTGCTTCCAGTTACTTGGGAGGCCCCTATGCATATATATATATATATATATGCATATATATATATATTAATATATATATATATATGTTAATCATTTGTCTGTTATGTTTTCTTCTGGTTAAGCATCTTTTGGGGTTTGTTCCCCTTACTGAAGGGTGGTTTAAACATATTATATCCTTTGCGTTTCTTCTGGTTTGGTGATGTTTAAAGGGGAAAGACAGAAAGCCTAGTACTTGCTTGTGCGATACGCAGGGAACGAGTTGGACTTAGCCCTATGAACCATCCCTTGTGGCTTGCTCGATCCCCCCAACTTGACTCCTTACTGAAACAGCAAAGCTCGCTTTTGTGGTAGGTAACTAGGGGTGAACATTCCCAAGGGTTACCCACTATAATGGCAGCTGGAAGCACTGGGTTTAGCACAATTTCAGAGTATGGGGTTGAGGAAATGGTTGACTAGATATTTGATTCAGATCCAATATTTGGGTTGTGCACCAGAATCCAATTTGCATGTCAAACGGTTTGTTTTGAGGGGTTTAGATTCGAGGGTTTGCCCTAAAGATGAAACATGGCTTGAACATGGGCTAGATATTTGATGAATATTTCATCTTGGAGGAGTTTGCACCAGACTCTTGATTTCAACTGGTTTTTGTTAAGGGCGGGGTAGCTTCTAGTCTGGTTTGCTTTTTGTCCTCCGAGTTGGGCCCAGGTGATGAAGTGCTTGCTTCAGGCGCCTTGGGACTCGGGGATTCGGGATCGGAGGTCCGCACCGCTCGCCTCTCCCAATGCGAGTATCTTCCTGTTCCCAGTGACTACCATTTTATAATTTATATGCTGCGGCTCAAAAAAACGGAATTCCAAAATGGGTTGCCCTGGTAAGTGGAAACATGGACCAAAACCTGCGGTTTGCCCCAGATCTGTAATTTTGAGCCATGCCCATATGGCTGATGTGACAAAAGGGGTAGCCCGAAATGAGTGCTGGGAAATAGAACCAACCCTAGCCCAGGACCTTATATTTGGGTCAAAGGCCCTCATTAGGGTCACAAGGGCTCCTAGGGCAGCTATTTGCAGTCCAGTTCCTGAGAAAAAAACATGACCCATATGGCCGCGGAGTTTCTTTAAACCGCTGGTGATACTAACTTTGCTGGTGCGATCGGGAACGTGGTTCAATGAAGCTGGAGGTGGGGATTCCCGGAGGGATGGGATTTTAGAACGGGTCACTCCATGTCTCATTCCATTTTTAGAACCAGCAAGTCAAGACCCACCCTTCGAGAAAAAGGGAAACTTGCGAAGGGTGCCGAGTATATGATGGGTCCACTGGGTTTGGTTTTCCTTTAAAGAAAAGCGTCTTGGGTCGAAAGAGGAAGCCAAAAGGAGGTTGCTTATGCAGCTTAGAGGCTCGGCTGGTTGCAGTTTGTGGTTTGCTTTGCTTCGTCTCCGCCGAGAAAGAAACCACGGCTCGATGCTCTTGGTTTATTCGCGGCCCTTTGGTGAGCCTGAGAAGTGCGGGAGTTCAAGTCAAGATCGTCCTGAAGACGAAGGCAGAAACGCACCAAACACACTTGGATGGTTCTTCACCGTTGGCATTTGTTTGCATTGCTAATATTTCTATGCAAACATACGGTTGTTGGTTCTGTTTATTTTTACCGGGGTTGTGGGTTGTGCAAAGAACAACGTATTTTGGTACCTTGCCAAGGGTTGTAATGGTTTCTTAAGATGCGAGTCCCCAAAGTTAATTTGTATCCTTTGATTCCCCTGTGCCCAAGGTCCGCCATTTGAGAAACGGGTCATGGGTTCTATGCTCGCCTACCAAAACAACGGCAGGAATCAAACAGATCCACTCTGTTTGTACGCACATGGGTCCTCAACAAGAGCAGTCCCTTCCCCCTAACAACTAACGCCTCCCCCCGTAATGACAAAAAAACAAAACATGCCGGCAAAACATGAGCTCAGGATTAGCTCACGATGGTTTTGAAGATCTCGCCTACGGCAGGAACCCAAAACATGCACCCTGTTGGTCGATTGGTTTTCTGGGAATTTGCGCCTTTGCCCGAAGCTTCGGGCACCGGTTTTTGAGCCGCGCCTGGGGCGGGAAACCATGGTAGAGACTGGGTGTGTCGTCCCTTCTTTAAAAGAATCGGACACCCTCCTCCCCCCAGGAAACAAAAGAGAAACAAGAGACAGCAACATCAGAAAGTGGGCTTCCTTTTGGTTTTCTTTTCAAACCCCACAAAAAGCAAGTACCCCCCAAAAGAGACACGCCCAACTGCTAGAGGTACATCTTCAACCTGGCGACCTTGGGCCGGGAATCGGTTTGACGGGTTTGACGGTGGTGCTCCTTTGGTGTCCAAGCAGTCACAAGCATGAATTCCGCGTTCTTCCTGGTGGTTTGCCTTTGAACCAACCTAAAAGGATCTAAAAGGCTACCTTCAAAGACAGCCATATTCGATGACTCCACCCCCCGCCCCCGAAACAAAAAAAGACAAATCCAGTGGCCAGTGGGCCCCGAAAAAACCGTCACAAAATAACTCCCCTTTCAGCCCATTGCATCCCTCGGTTTTCTTCGGGAAACAGCCGCGGCCGCCGGGCTCGCGCTCGCCGCCCGGTGGCTCAGTCGGCCTCGACCTTTGCCGAGAGAGGCGAGGGCCGAGGTGGACATCACCAGCCGCTACGGGCGGACCCCTCTGCAGCTGGCCGCTGAGTCTGGGCACATGGAGGCGCGGAGATTATTATTTTTGAGCGCAGCTCGGCGGCGTTTTTTTTGTTTTTACTGAACAGGGGACCTCCCACAGAAACAGGGTTTTCTTTGACTGGTCTTTGCTTTGGCTGAACAGCTGTTCTTGGACTGTGTTCTTTGACTAAACAGGTTTTCTTTGACTAAACAGGTTTTTTGACTAAACAGTGATATGTGGGGGTTCTAGGTCGCTGGAGCAAGGAGACACTCAGAGTCGGAGCCACAGCCAAAGCGCCTTCTCGTTCAGGGCTCCTTAAAAGATACATTTTGCCCATTTGAAACATGGCTTTTTCCACCAAAATAAAGGGAAACCACCATTTACAAGGCAATGTTCAGGTGTATAATGTAAGGATCCCTGTCATTTGTTGTAAGATAAGGTCAAGTGATATCCCCAGCTCCTCGAACCTGAAACCGAATCTTCGGCACCCTCCCTGAAATTTGCCCCAAACCACCCTAAGCTAACTAGGTCCCCCAGTAGTGCCTTTCTTACCCCTTTTTTGTTTTGGGGAGTTGATTTGGTTGCAACAGTACTTCCCTTCACGGCTTGCCGTTCCAGGACGTGGCTCCTGGGGTCAGGCTTTTGCTGCTGTCCGTGCCTGTGCTCCCTCTTGGAACCACATGTTACGCAGGGCCTCACTCGGTGCGCTTACGCAGCAAGCCATGCTTGTTGATTTGCAAAACTGTCGTGAGCAGTTTTCAAGCTTGCTTGGCCAGCTAGGGCTGCGCTTCCCTGTGCCTGACACGCCCGCGATGCACGCCTCTGCTATGTGTCCCGAGTGTTCGCAGTGCTTCGCTTCCAAGGCCCGGCTCGCCCACCACCGTTTCTGCGCGCATCGCGTGCGCTCAGTGTCACGTGCGACGTTACTCACTGCGTCGCATGCCTCGCTGAGTGCTATCACACTGCCCGGCTTCAAAGTCATTACAACAGCCGTGCAAACACGTGCTTGCATTTCGCGATCCGCAACCTTGCTTTTGATCTTGAAGCGTCGTTCCCTGTGATCAAGCCACCTGCCTGGTTGGTTGGGCACAAGCGGGTGCCTGCTGTTCGCTTGCAGGGCCCCTTTGCCTTCTCTTGAGGAACGGTTGGGTAGTGACTGCCTCACGGCGGCTTTTCGCACGTTGTTGGCCGATGTCATTTGCGAGCCTGCAAGGCCACCTCAGCCGGTTGCTGCTGGAAAGGAGCTTGTTGCCATGTCCTGCGCAGCAGAGCCTGAAAAGCCCGAAGTTGGTGCTCGCTGTGTGCATGTGCTTGGGTCGATTTTCCTAGTGCTGCCGCTGAGCTTCAAGCGCAAGACTTGCGCGCTCGTCCAGCCGTCAACTTGGAGCAGACTTGCGAAAGCCCGTTGCAAGGCCTGATGCTCGAGAAGCCAACGTACTTTGTTGTGCACTTGTTTGCTGGCCATGCCAAGCCTGGTGACCTGCGCTCGTGCGTTGGCGAACTTGTAGAAGGGTCAGCCTTTCCAAGTCTCTGTGCTCGCGCTCGACCTTGCTCAGGGTTGTGACCTCACCAAGCACAGCACAGTGCAGCGCGTCCTTGATTTGGCGCAGCGGGGCCGTTTCGCCGCTGCTTGTGTCGAGGAGCGTAGCTACTTGTTTGAAAAGAAGTTCCGGGCCCCGGGCACTCTTGGTCGCTCCCTTCGCGCACCGTTAAGGAGTTGCAACAACTCGAGCTTGCCAACTAACAGTCTGATAATCCTCCTGACTGTTTTTGCCACAGGTGGAGCTGTGACGTCAAATCCGGCCATCATGTTGCCTTGGAGGATCCCGGCAGCTGCCTGCCTTTCAGCTGCTCACCGTTTACCCGCGCGATTGCAACCAGGTCGCTTCGAAGGCCGTTGGCCTCCTGCTCGGAAATGTGCCTGACGCCGTTGCGTGCTTGGCCCGCCACAAATTCCCATCGCATCTCCGTCCTGCCCGTGGTGCTGGCTCAGGTATGCGTGCCAGTTGTGACTTTTCTTCAGCCAGGCCCAGTAGCTGCCCAAATGCCTTGACACGTGCCATCGCCGAGTGCCTTGTTGCACGCACGCTGCAGTTGCATCGCACCCTGCCTCAGCCTCCTGAGTGTGCAGATGACTTTGCTCGCATTCGTGCGCTGCTGCCCGCAAGTAGTCACTGCGCGTAGGCCCTGTTTTCGGCTGCTGTGTGGGCAGCCCAGGAATTCGTTTCGCCCTGCAAGGCACAGACATGGAGTCTTTTGCGAAGGAAGGAAGGAGGGTTCCCCTACACAAAATGTTGCCCGGCGCCCTCTTCTTTCTCTTTGGGAGGCTCCAAACAAAAAACTGACCCCGGGCCTCGGGTGTTCTCGGACCAGCAGGCGGTGGAGTGTCTGCTGCAGAGTCGGGCGGACGTGGGCCACCGGAGGCAGGGCTCCGTGGCGGAGTCAGCGGGAGGGTTCAGTCAGTCAGCGTTGGGGAGTCAGTGAGTCAGTGAGTCAGTGAGTCAGTCAGCCAGTTTGTTTAAAGGAAAACCCACCAATTTATAGGTGAGGGCGCTAATTCAACAGGCCCCCCCTTGGGAAAAAGGCTTGCTTTTTTTTTTTCCGAGTGGTGTCCCATTGAAGTCCATAAAAGGGGAAAGCCTCAAATTAAAAAGCAGAGTGAATTGAACTGGCCCCACAGAAAGCTACCCATTTGGCTTCGTGTCTTCGAGCGACCCAAGGGCCCAAACCTTTGCTCGCCAAAGTCAGCTTGCAGATAGCTGCTTGAAGGTAGGTCTGGATAAGTTATCGCCCTGGCTCGCCTTGGGGGAAGATGAGCATTGATGAAGGTCCCGTCGGGTGATTCTAGGCCAAGACACGTAGTTCCACTAAATGTGAACTCAGCAGCGTCTGACCTTTTGCTCTTAGAGTAATCGGTTAGATTGGCTGGCAGCCTTGATCATGACAAGACGAAACAAATGTACTCTAATGCCATGTGCAAACTGAATCATCTTGCAATTTGCCTGTGCCCTACCTTTCATGCCTATCCAAACATGTGGGAACCCTAAGCTGGTAATCCTGATGTTGCCATATTTATCTCTTTTGTTTTTTGAATAAGGCATACACATGCATACACAAACTCAACTATCTATTTTCTGTGCAATCCTCTCACCCAGACACTCCATGTATGCTCAACATTTGTCCACGACTACCCTCAGGTGGTTTGTGTCAAAGCAGGGATTTTGGACCCCACTTGGTGGGTGGCTTTCCTTTTTGGTTTTCTTTCAACCCCTCCCAACATTGATACCAAGCTGCAACAAGACACGACAAGTTGGCGTGTATATATATATATATATATTATATCTGTTTTTGTATTCTACCCATCGGTTTCCTCCCTGCCCAAAGGTGTCCTCATGTCAGGTAAGGTCCACCCGACCACCCTGTTTTTCTCCCTGGAGTCTTCTGACACTTGAAGCATGGGGGGAATTTGCCCACAACTTCTTTGGGGTACTGTGATGGCACCCCAAAAAGCCGGGTGCAATGAATTGCCCGGTCTCAGCCTTACTGGCACCGATGCGAGCTGAACCCAAGGAGCTTCGGGCGCACGGCTCTGCAGCTGGCCTGTGACAAGGGCCACGTGCCCATCGTGCAAAGTCTCCTCTCCGCAGGCGGGCCGTGCCACCCTCTCCTTGTCTTCCACCCCACCTTAGGGGCCCCGCCCGGAGAAAATGGGTCGCCGGCGATGTTCTTTCTTTTTTTAGGTGGGACCGTCGGATGTGTTTTTTTCTTTTTATTTTGACATTTTTCCGGCTGAAGTGGGGGGTTTTGAGGCTTTGTTTTGGATGTTGGCTGCTATGGCGGGCGGGGGTGTGGGGTTTGCTTACTTTTACGGGCTTTGGCAGTTCAGGGCTTTAGGATGGCGGGAAGTGGGACCCCGCCCGGTTGATATCAATGGTCCTTTGACACTCGCGCACATGTTGGACTTGTGCTGAGGTTGCTATTTCGGCATAGGATGTGGATTTGCGGGGCTAATGAGTTGGGAGAGTGGCTCGATTGATCCGGCTATCTTGATTTCATGGGCCCTTTTCCGCAGACTGTGCGGGTGTCCGGAGATACTTTTGCCGGGTGGTCCTTTTGAAGATATCAATAAGGGCCGCTGAAAGCATTGATCCCCTTCAACAGGAAAGGCTGGCGCATCAAGTTACGAATTCATTCGATCCGTCCGCTGGGAGTTTCCCCGGTGTCAGCGACCATCGATTTGTGTTTCATCTCCAGGTCGTCGTTTTTTTTCTTCTTGTTGTCGCCCATGTCCTTGTCAGCCGTTGGTCTGTGGCTTGCTCCAATGGCCAGGGTGCGACTTGTCGTTTTTTTCTTCTTTTCTTTTCCATCCCACTTGACATGTCAACAGCCAGTGGTTGAGTTGCGCCCGTTCAACACTTCCCAAGTCACTGCTGTTTGATAGCAGTTGCGTCACTTCGGCGCCAGTTGTTTGATCGCTTCCCTGGCCCCGGAGCCTTTTGGGATTGTTTCCCCTCAGGCCATCGGACCGGGAACAGGCCATGGCTTAGGGATGCTTCACGACTTTTGTCAGTTCCATTTCGGCAAGAGAACCGTCCTTCAGAGACAAGCGGAGAATCGCTTACAGGTAATCAACTGGGAATCTGGAGGTGATTCCTATGTCTCGTTTTCGTGAGCTAACTGAGATTCCAACAACTCTGGGTGCTTAAAAGGTCTCTCCCGCCCTCATAATAACCCCCCTCCGTCCCCCCCCGTCAACCCTGCCCCCTCCAAAGCTCCCTCAACCCTCTCCCCTTCCCCCTCCACCCTCCCCCCCTTCCCCTCCCCCCCTCCCCCCCTTCCCCTCCCTCACCCCCTCCCCGCTTCCCCTCCCCCCCTCCCCCCCCCCCCCATCGAGGCGCAGACTTCACGGTGGCCGGATCCTATGGCCGGACTCCTTGGCAGATCGCCGCTCGCCCTGACGCGTCAACGCCACGGATCGGACCGGTCTCGCGATCGGACGTAGCTGGCGCAAGGAATCCGTTGCTCGTCCAGGTCCCCCAGCCAGGTGCCCTTTGGCTAACTTTTTTGGTCGGGAGGGCTCCCCCCTACCAACGTAGACTACAGGAAGAAGGGTACCTTCATTCTAACCTCTCTACTGAAGGACCTAGTAGTGGATTCGAGTGGGGTGTGTCTTTTCCTAGGGCGCCCCTTTTTCTCTGTTTTTGGTCATTGTAACCAAAGAAATACCCGCCATTTTGGGGTGTCCGATTCCTCACAAGAAGACACATCCATGTTTGTTGGGTTCGGGTTTTCCGTTGACATTGTGAATCACCTTGGGTTTCTGTTTCATTTGTTTCTTATTTTATGTTTTTTTTCTCCGAGAGAACGGCACTTGCTTTCTCCGATTCTCTTGACGTCTTGGGGATTTTTCATGCCGCAACTTTGGCCACGTGAAGCCCGGCATCCGCATTGGGCGAATCGGCATAGAAGACCTACATCATGATCGTTGTGGGGAAGCATTTTATATTTTTGCTTCTATTATTGTGGTTTAGTGAGAAATCCCCACTTAACTGCCTTAAAAACATGTTTTGCTCCAACGTCAAGACATTGTGTGGGGCTCTTTGCGTGGCTTACCACGCCACGCCTGGGGCTCACTTTTGGCTCACTGGCCAGCGCCCGATCGAAGAGCTCCCCCTCCCCGGGCCCGGGGCCTTCGGAACTTCGCCGCGCGAGGCCTGCGACAAGGGCCACTTCCCGGTGGTCCGTGTGCTGCTGCAGGCGGGCGCCGGGCGCGGAGGCGGCGGCGGCGGCGGCACGGCGGCGGAGCAAACGCAGGCCTGCGGAGGGGTTTGGGAGCTGAGAAGGGTTGAGGGCCTTGGAGTTTGGACCGTGGACAATTGTGATCTTTCAGGATTTCGGGGTTAAAGGGAGGAAGTATTGACTCTTCGGGGTATCTTGATGTATAAGGTATGAAGAAGTGGTTGGTGCAGGAGACATTGTGGAAATAGTGCCAGTTTCTGCAAGTGGCGTGAGTTTCTGCGAGTGGCTCTTGGGTGATGCCAATTCCATTCGAATCCATCGTTCTTTTCAAGACCAGGCGTTGTCTTCTTCTTTCTTTCTGGGATTCTGGAGGCTGTCTAGAAAGAAGGATCCCTAGAATGGGGAAGGTACCCCTAGAATCTGGTGGATCGGGCCAGAACCTGCAGCGAGTAGACGTGCCGGTTTGTTTGACCGGCAGAGTTTGCCGGTTCTGGGGAAACTGGGAAAAACCCCTATGGGTTGCTCCACATTTGGACACGAGTTGATATGGGTGTGGCTCAAAATTAAACAGAAGCGGATACGCATGTTTTGGTCCATATTTCCACTTACCACAGTTCCATTTTGGGACCGGTTTTTTGAGCCACAGCCATATTGCAACATGTACTGATTGTTGATGATGGATTCCCCGAAAAACGTCGTCCCATGTTTCTTCTTCACTTGGGGGCGCAGTTGGGTTTAGGAAGACAACCCGCATACTTCTTGAAAGGAGACGCAGCCTGTGCTTCAAACGGGTTAAGGCCTGGACCTTCTACAGTAGTGAGGTCAGACTCAATAGATTTTGACTCGGAGTACACGAGGGCTGTCATTGAGGTCTAGCTGCGCCTTGGCGAAAGCGTAGAATTTCCGCTGCGAGATTTTTGCGGTTCCAAGCGGAATGATGACGTGGGGTACCTGCTCTGAACACAAAACCTTACCCCCCCCCCCGTTATGTTCAATATATATATATATAGGTCACCAGCATAAAAACTTCGGGAATATATGGTTGGTGCCCGTCCCAGACATATTCCGTTTGAGGTTGCCAAGCCACAAGGTCTATTTGTTGAGCTGTTTTTTTTTTTGGGGGGGGGTGGCACTTTTCAGGTTGGTTTTCCAGAGAACCGGAAGCACTGCATTCATTTTGTTGGGGTCTCCTCTCCCAGGCGAAGAGAGGCCGGCGGGGCTCCAAACGGGTTGAGGCCGGATCACCGGGTGTGTGAGTCGGTCGTCAGTCGCAGGGTGAGGATGGTGAGGGCTACACCAACTTTGGTAAAGGTCTAGGGGTATGTTCCCCATTCTTTTCAGGGATTATTCTTTCTAGAAAACCTCCAGAACCCCAGGAAAACGGCTGGTTTTGAAAAGAACGATGGTTGAAAAGAATGGAATTGGAATCAAGCGACGCTCCCCAAAGGACCCAAAGGGCTCGTCCCGGGCAGCCCATGTTGGACTGTAGATGCTTGGGTACTTCTGAGGTCGAACTTCGCGGGGACCATTCTGAGGTCAGGGATCCGAACACAAAGTTCAACGAAGGCCCAGCAACGCCATGCCCTCCGTTTGGAGCATAGGGCGCCTTAGGAGGGTTCCTTCCGACTGGAGGTACCTGGGCTATTCGCAGAGATGTCTTGTCGCCCGCTCGTCGGGTGTCGGGTGTTGGGTCTCTGCTGAGAAGGTGTAATGGATGCGGTAGATCCGAATTGCCGTCCTTGAAGGCACTACCAGGCAATGCATATCCCTCAAACCGAGCAAACAAAACACGGATAAAAGCTGGAGGTTAAACATAATTAATCTCTGTTCACTCTGGGAAGCGCTGGGTTAGTTTGCTCGACCCGCTCAGAATCTGGGGACAGGATGCCATAGCGCCCCTTGTTCAAGTAAGGTCAAGCTATGGGAGATCAGGCGCTAGCCAAGCAAAACCTGTTGAACTGTGTGGAGGTGCGGCCCTGTTGATTCTCCATATTCGGGTTCACATCTAGGTCCCTCAGTAGTGCCCTTTTACCCTGTTTTGGGGGGAGGGTTCCCCCTACTAAAATAGAGTACAAAAACAAGTTCGTAGCCTTATTCTAACCTCTCCACTGGAGGACCTAGTTGATCATGCCTTGCATGAACAAGCATTTCCTTTCACTTCCCAGCCCCCAGGAGGGGCTTTCGATGGAAGATCCGACCTCGCCAGTACACACCCACCGCCTCCGGAGGCGGTGGGTCTCAAAACCAGGATCGTGGAAGGCCAATCAATCGGGAATAATGTGGGTTCATCACGTTCTCCATATTTGGGTTCAGCATTCTCCATATTCACCCTGTTGATTCTCCATATTCATGGTTGTTGTTGGGAAACATTTTACATGTTGCTTATTGTGGTTTAGTGGTTGAAGTCCTCACTTAACTACTGAAGTCTACTGCGAACTGGGTCCTTTCCATTTCCAAACTGGGTCTTAGGGAGTTTCAAGCAATGCAACGTGTGCGTTTGTCCGCTGCAGCTGCTTTTTCTCATCACCTGGCTGTGCCCCAGTGCCACGAGTCTCAGCTGCATACAGCGTGAATTGTTTCACGCATCAGCCCCCAAAGCTTCTCAAGTGCTTCTGGATCACTGCTGAATCCCTAGGTCCATTTTCAAGGATCCACCTCAGCTCCAAGTAGCAACAAAATCTGTTCAACGATTTGAAATCGTCATGGCAAAACAGAACCCCATTGTAAGACTTTTTGCTGCCGAGAGTCTTGTTGCGCGCTGCAACCGCAGAGCGTGCCCAATCTGAATTTTGCCCTCCCTGGGCCCTGGCCAGACTCCAAGCAGTGGAGTAAACCTTAGCTGCGTAAGTCTAGCAAGCGGCCTTGTAGGAAGCGTGTCAGACAAGGAGCGCTGTGAAGCTTGCGCTTGATTGCCTTCTCAGGGTCAGCGGTCTCCAGTGTATTCGGGCCTTTGGCCCTTTTTGCTTCGCGTCCTTTGGCCGGTGGCTTTGAGCCTTTGGTCTTTGGCGGCTTTGAGCCTTTGGTCTTTGGCGGCTTTGAGCCTTTGGTCTTTGGCGGCTTTGAGCCTTTGGCCTTTGGCGGCTTCGGGCCTTTGGTCTTTGATAACCTCGCGCCTTTGGTCTTTGGGCTGGGCGTCAAGGCGCTTGCACTGTTGGCGCCCTTCCTTTTCTGTGGCCCCGGCTCGCTGCCATTGTTGGTCTCACTGGCGCCGGCTGGCTCGGCCGTTTTTACTGGAGGCGGTTCTGGGCCAAAGGCCGTGTCAGGGGGCACGTCGTCTTCAGTGGTCGGGGCAAGGTCCTGTGACTCATCCTGCGTTGAGTTGGAGAGCGTGCCCAAAACACGCTCAACTTGTTGCAGGGCTGAGTCCACTGCCCGGTGCGTGGCAGCCAGTTGCGCAGCTGTGACATAGCATGACTCGCCAGGGCTTGGCTCCAGCTCTGTCGGTGTCATTGGCGCTGGCAAGGTCGTTGTTGGCGGGTTGTCCTGGCAATGTAGCCGGACCCTGATACGCCAAGCCCAAACTCAAAACAGCCTCACTGAAGTGGTCAGTCAGGTCGATTTGAGTGTCCTTAGGTGGTCCACAAAAATAAATCAATCCTCCAACCCAGCCCAGGAATGAGCGTCAGACTTGGCGTCAGGGTTTCAACAGTTTCTTGCACCATGGGCGTGCAGCAAACCCAAAGCCAAGGACGAGCGGCGGCTGCATGGGCTGTGGTCGGAACATCAGCGGCAAGGCCCGCCTGTGCGCCAGGTGTTGCTCGGTTCCTTGTGATAGCGGAAGCCCCACCCCACCCCGTTTCCTAGCCTTGCTAGCAGGAGAAGGCGTGAGGAGTCCAAGCTGGTTATCAGGCCAGCCCAACTGCTCGTTGAAGTCACCCTGAGGGCTCTTCCTGATGTCAGCGTGCAAGGTGTAGCGTGTTCAGCAACCCTAACAACCAGAGCTTAATTTGAAGCCAAGCACACGGACTCTTGCTTGAAGATCGGGCTGTCCATCTTTGTCATGGCAGCAACGTTCTGGTTGTTCTTCGCAAGCTCCTTCTTCTCAATCATGTGCTCAAAAGGCCGTGGGTCCTGCAGGAAGCCCATTGTCAGGTCATGTGATGGACGCGATCCAACGGAAGCCTTTTGAGACCAGTCCTCATGCCCAGGAACGTCATCAGCGTGCTTTGTTTTGGTTCGTGTTGCGGGTTTCTTTTTGGCACTTCGTGCCTTGCTTCCAGCGGGTCGCTTTCTGGTCACCTTTCGCTTCTTGTTTCTGCCGTCATCGCTTTCGCAATCACCATTGTTGCTATCACCATCCTCATCAGTATCGTCCCCAGCCAGGGGCTTGTGGTCAGGTGTGAGATCACCCTCCTCGTTGTCATCATCATTGTTTCTCTTGCCGGTTTTGCCCTGCTTTGGTTTCTTTTCTGTTGTCTGTTTGCTGCGCTTCTTCTTGGAGCCTTTTGCTGGGTCCTCCTCAGGCTTCTTCTTGTCTGATGACTCATCAGAGGAAGTGATTCGAGCAGGCAAGTTGTGCGATGATTTGCCCCGTGCAAGTGTTGATCCTTAGGTGGCCCAGGGTCATGGGCCAACATCCCCAGAGATTGAAAAACTTTATGCGACAGGCAGCCTTGCTGAGCTCCACTGGGTCCGGCTGTTGACGAAACGCTGGAACCTTGTAAAGGGATAGGCTCCTTCAGAATCTGCTGGAGGTCAAAAGCCTAGGTCTAAGGGGGGAAGTCTGAATCCCTGAAAGGTGTACCGTGGCTTGTTTGAATCAAGGTTTAAAAGCTTTCCACTCATAGCCAAGATACAGGAGCCCTAAAGTTTGCAACCGGCGTTACTTCTTCAACATCCGAACTGCCATCGTCGGCAGGCATGTCCAGGGCGCCAGCTACGTGAGGCCTACTAAGACTAGGCGCAAACGGCTTTGACACAGAGCGCTGGCATAGACTTGGAAGAATTGCTTGACAAGCCAAATTCACTGGCTTTTCTCGCAGCCCGGCAAGCAACTCATCATCGCTCTCAATGTCACGCATTGAGAAACCCAACACTGGGCGCGGGGAGCACAAACTGCCCATTTCAACTTCTGAGTTTCTTGAATTTCTGCACCCACGCACCCAGTCCCCACAACAAAAAGGCTCCTGCCTGGCGTGTGGCCAACCCTGTCAGCTTCAGTCAACCAAATAACAACCAAATACCAACACCTTACAAGTAGTTGGGTCAAACAGCAAACTGCCGTGTCAAGTTTGTCCGCAGGAGCTGGCCACTGCTGGAAAGGATGGAGTGAACGCAAGGCGGGGCTGTCAGCTAAACCCAGGCTGAAAACGGGTCCCAGCTTTGTGAATCTAAACTTTTTTTCTGTGGGTTGGTCTGGCCCCCCTTGCGCAGTCTGGCGACTATCCTTTCAAACTCACATGAGGCGGACTATGGTATCTTCAACATCCACTTGCCCTGCCAGGCACGCGATTGGTCGAACTGGGACAATGCTCTTTGAACCGTCCGTAGCGTTGACCTCCAACCTGTCGCCAAATTCCCGGGTTTGAGTTGAAAGGTTGGCAACCTCCGACAATAGAATCACAACAAAGGCGCTTTTCGATTGGGGTCGAGCAACTTGTGATTGTTTTGTTTGAGGAACAAGCATTTATGGGTTCTTTGAGTTTGGACCTGCAGCGCCAGGCCAGCAAGATGTTTTTGGCATTCTTGAAGGCATCGATGTTCAGCCGGGATCCGAAGTTCTTCTGGTTGGGCCCATTGGCTTTCTTCCGCTTCTTGGAGGGCTTGTTTTCAGGGTCGTCCTTGGGCTCGTCCATGACAAATACCAGAGTCCGAGTTTGAGAAACCGCTCCGTCGACGATCTGGTGATGAGACACGCTTGCCTTCACCTTCGTTGAGTGTTTTGGATCAAAACCGGGAAGCCTTGCAGGAGCAAACATAGTAGGTGTAACACTGTTGAAGTTGTTTGGACATATCTTGCCCCTGCCTCGCCCTGGTCCTCCATTTCCCGGAGCAGTTCACTCAGTGGGGAGGGCGCCTTCAGGCTCCCCAAGGAATGTAAATGTTCCGGGAGACCCTTTGCCTCCAAAAGCACAAGCGTCTTTGACGTGACATTGAAGCTGAACCACCTTCCTCCACCATTCGCGGCAACTTCGTCAGCTTCCTGAGAAACAACTGAGACTGGGGTGAAGGTCGATACGTATTGAATTGCAGGACTGCGAGTTTTGTTTAGCTTACAAGCGGCAGCCCCATCTCT